TAGTTGTAAGAGGAGGATTGTGGCTCTTATATCTCTTACCTAATTGGCACAAAGGCTAATTAAATTTATAACAATTAGAAGCTTTACAGCATTCTGAGAATTTGCAGGGACTCTTAGATTTTTAGGCTGCTGACTTACTTTTGCAATCTGAAGCAGATACAATGGATGTTGATAAATAGCTGACTTAATAGGCACTTGCGGCAGTGTTTCCATAAGGATAAGGCTACTGTTTCTGTGAATCATGCCGGCAAATGATTCAGTCAAGTCCTTGGGGACTTGGTTATCTGCACTAAATGACAGCCATTTTCTTTTTATTACAGTGCAGACACAGATTGTGTCTCATTGGTCTCTGCATTTGTGAAGCATTCCCTGTAGGGTAGTGGGGAAAAGTACTGAGGGCTTTAGGGAACTGTGGGATTCTCTTATTTAAAACCAATAGGTTTCTAGTCTTCATGATTCTGGAAGGAAATTTAGGAACATATTATGCTTCTTTAGATATTCAGCGAGGGAACATTCCTGGTTGGTATAGTAGCACAAGTGCTGTCCTGCATGGTAAGCCAGTGAATTGGGTCTTGCAACATCTACCCAGGCTGCTTACCATTATCAGATTCTGGGCTGCCTTGATCTATTCAGGCTGCTCATTGGATCCTGAAGACAGAAAGGACAGCTCTTTACCATGTTGGAGAGTAACTGAACTCAATCATGAGAAGCTATTGGAGGACACACCAACACAAGCTGGTAGTGCATATATTCTACCTTCTTCTGCATCGTCATAGGCTACTGGACTTTAAAATAGCCATCAAACAAACGTAGCCACATTACTGGATCTTGGTACTAGTGGGCTATTAACCATGGAGAGCATGAGGAGAAGCAGTGTGAAGCTGAACAAAAAGCAGTCGGAAAATCGGTCCAGGGAAAATCAACCCATTAGTGAATATAGCCAAGGTAGCTATAGTCCCCATTGTAGTTTGACTGAAATTGTCCTTGGTAAGATCACATAAGTAAGATGAGAGGCCTTGTTCCACATCACTTCTCATACTTTGGTTAGACCTGAGAAGGCACAGAGAACTTCTTCTGTTATAGTTCCCACTCTCTAGGCTTCCCTTCCTAGAAGATCATGATTATTTCCTTACTGTATTTCCTATGTTTCCTCACTCTACATAATATAAATATGTAAGAAGAGCCATGCTGGATCAGTCCATCTGTCCATTGTTCACAATAAAGAATAGCCATATCTCCTTTTTTCACCTTCTTTCTAAACCAAATCACTCCTTGTGCTTGTAGCCATTCCTCATAGGGAAGTTTATCCATCTGCAAGATCATTCTGGTTGCCCTTTTCTGCAATGACTTTTTCAGGTGCAGTGAGCAGAACTGTGCACAATATTCTAAGTACACCATAGATTTGTGCAAGGGGAATAAGATCTTGGTGGTTTTATTTTCAGTTCCTCTCATAATTATGCTCTAACATGAGCCTTCATCACAGCAGCAGTGCACTAGGTCAACATTTCACTGGGTTGTCAACCACAACCCTAAGATTCCTTTCTTGGTCAGTTACTGCTATCACAGATTCCATCATCTTACACTTGAAACTTGAAATGTCCCCCAACATGCATTACTCTACACTTGCTTATATTAGACAGCACTGTCATTTTGATGCACATTCTCTCAGCTTAGATCCCTTTGGAGCGCCTCTTAATCCCTTTTGGTTTTAACCACCCTAAATAGTTTCTTGGCATCAGCAACCTTGTCTAATTCACTTTTTACTCCTAATTCCAGATAAATGATGAATGGGTTGAAAAGCACTAGTCCTAAAGCAGAACCCTGTGGAATCTCACTGTTTACATACCTTCTTTGGGAGAAATTACTATTCATTCCTACTTTCTGTTTTCTATTCTTTAACCAGTTACTAACCCATATGAAGAATTTTCTTTTTATTCTGCGGCTGCTAAGTTTGCTCAAGAGTCTTTGGTGAGAGAATTTGTTAAAAGCTTTTTGGAAATCCAGGTTTCTTCTTTGTGGTCTTTGTGCATCACACATATGGACTCTGTGTTCCCACTTATTCCATCCATTCCATTTGACCGCCATTGTGCCTAGATTGGAATCGCTTCTTTCCTCACACTTGCATATTTAGTGTTTTCTCGCAGCTCTTTTCTCTCAGCTTCTACTTAAAATACCCTTTCTTTGCTCTTGTCACAAACACACTCTTCACTATTTATCTATTTTTAAAAAAAAACTACAAAAATGTTTTTTTCCTCCCCTCTTTCTGTCTCTTGACATTGCATCCCCTACTGAGTTGGCCCTGCCTCCGCCTTTTTCCCACCCTTCCAAAGTACTACAATGGTGTCCTTGGTGGCATAAACCAGGTAAACAGTACCTACTGAATCACCCCTGTCTGTGTGGTTATTGGCACTCTCAAAGAGCTGTAAAAGGTTGGTGAGACAGAACTTAGCTTTGTGGAAGCCATTTACCTTTTCCAGCAGGTGTAGCTTTCTTCCAGTTTACCCAGAACAGGCATTAAGCTAACCAGTCTCTAATTTCCCAGATCCCATCTGGATTACTTTTTAGAAATTAATGTTTTGTTGGCCATTCTCCAGTCTTCTTAGCAACATGTTTTCTCTTTCTGTAAGAAAGTTAGTAATTTCATATTTGAGCCCTTTAGGAACTCTGGGATAGATACCACATGGGCATAAAGATTTCTTAATTTTAGCATGAAAGATAAAGGCTCATACACTCATAATTTTAAACATACACAATTTATATAGGACAATTACAGAAGAAAACAATGAATGTGTTTCATGAGGGTGAAAAGCCTGCTAGAGCAATAATATGTAACATACGATAGTTGCCCAAGCTTCAGTTTGCTATAAAGCTTGGACGACTTCTTTTCTTTTCTTCTGGCCAGGGCGACTTCTTTTCTTTTATAACTTCTTTTATATCGTTTATATTTTTTTATTTATTTTATATTATTAATTTTAATTTTATATTGTTATTTTTGTATTGTGTTGTAAGCCGCCCCGAGGCTTCGGCAAGTGGCGGCATAGAAATGTTCTAATAATAATAATAATAATAATAATAATAATAATAATAATGCATATCCAGCAAAATGGACAGATCCAACAAGTCTTATGATCTGTCTAAGCCAAATGTCGCCTGCCAGCCACTCACTGCTTCATCCTCTGCTTTTTGCAATCCAGTGAAAGTGGCAAAAAAGCAAGAAAAGGAAAAGCAATATGGTTGCTGGCTTTTGACATCAGTTGAGTGTAGAGATAGACACACAAACAGCATCACTGGAATTCCCAAAGTTCCACTTGTTCAGTGTGATAGTGTTAGTTGCTGGTGCTCTTAAGACCATTGGGAGCAAGTAGAAAAGATGTTAAAATTCTGATCTTGTTTATAGACGAACAGTGCAGCTTTTACAGCACGGTAAAGCTATTAAAAGCATTCTCATGATGGCCATGCATGTGGGCAAAGGCTAGCAAGACATTCCTAGACAGGTTTTTTGACTATCCAGAGGGCTTAACACTGAAATTGGGTGCAAAGGTAAATGCAAAACATTTACCGGCATTCTTGGAACTGCTTTCAGAGTTCCAAATGGAGGAGATTTTTCATAAAGTTGTGCTGCAGAAAGGGCAAGAAGGTAGAAGCAGTTTATCAACTGAATAAGATAATAGAACATTAGAAGCTGCTTTATACACATTCACAATCCTCTAAGTCAGAAGCTGCCTGTGAAGAGCCAAGTTGAAGAAGACTGGTCAACACCGACTCAGAGCAGCTCTCTAGAGTCTCAGGAGTGTATGTTCTCATCATGCACAACCCATCATGCACAAACAGGATTTGAGCATGAAAAGAATGTGTCTCCTGATGACCTATAGCATCCTCCTTAGAAATGGATTACAAATGTTTGAGCACAAGTTTTACAATGGCAGTTGGAACACCGAATCAAGATTTACATTCTTTTGTATCATACTGTGTAGATCATGGGTCCTCAAACTACGGACCGGGGACTGGATCCGGCCCTCCATGCCCATTTGGACCCATCACGCATGCACCCACGCCCATGCCCACCGCTGCCCAACTCGCCCCGCGCATGGTGAGGCAGCGGTTTGCTCGCTCAGAGAAAATGATCTCCAAGTGAGCCTGCCGCTGTCTTGTGCACCTGCCTTGTGGCACATGCCTGCCCCCCCTCCCCTTGTGGCATGCGTGCACCTGCCTGTACCTCCCCCTCCCCCCCCCCCCCCCCCCCCCCGCCCCCCCCCGCCCCCCCCCTTCCCCCCCCCCCCCCACCTCAGCGCGCCCCACTGGCACCACCTTTCCGGCCCGCGCCCAGCACCGGCACCTTTCAACTGGCCCCCTGGTGAAAAAGTTTGAGGACCCCTGGTGTAGATCATCTGGCCCATTGTTTATGATGGAAACCTCACCGTACAATAGACTTGAGTCCAGGCTGGCCTGCTCTGGATGATATGTCTTGATTTACCAAATCATGATACAAACACACTTTTTGCTATGTATGAAACCCCTTCACTTCTCCTCCATTTCATCTGTAATTAAACTAGGAAATTTCTAATTTCCCCTGTGCCTTGTTTTTTTGTATAAACCCAGAAACTATGCTTACCAGTTTCAGCACAAGCCAGGATTTTAAAGAGGGTCTGAAGCTTATCACAAAACACGTAACCAACAGTTTGGACAGAATGAGAAACGATAGTTCAAGATTTCCTGGTTAAATCACAACTTGTGCAGAGGGACTGAATCTGCAGGAAAATGTGCATTCATATGTTGATATATTAAACCATGTTAGAACTATCTGAAGTGAGTGTTTGAGAGTGACTAAATTTAAAAATGAGGGTTGGTTATGCTTTTATTATTTATTTAAGTATTTTATAGACTGTCCATCTACTGGAGTCTCTATGGGTTACAACAAGCTTTTGTCACTGCTACCTCTTAGAATGTCTCCTGATGAGCTGCTCAGAAGAATATCAGCACTTTCTTTGTCTGTTGTTTAGGTTGCAGTTGCTCCTTGGTGGTTGCCTGTTAAAGGAGCTAACTGGAGGCACCCGGAAGGTCCTGATTCTGATATCTCAAACAGGTGAGCCCGTAGAGCTATTGAGTTTCAACTGGCATTTCAGTGGCTGGCACACAGGCACTTTTACAAAACTCAAGTGTATCTCAGGATTTTAAAATTATTTATTTATTTATTAAGACATTTTTATGCCGCCCCATTCACCAAAGCCTCGGGGCGGCTTACAACATTAAGTTAAAATACAAACATTAAGTTATAACCTTAAATTAAAATGTTTGTAGAGTGCAGACATAAAGTTAAAACACAAAAATAACAATATAAGATAAGTCGCCCTGGCCAGGTAAAATCCAATATTATTAACAATTAAAATGACGCTTAAATATCCCCAGATCCATGCTTGTGGCATCAGAAGAAAGTTTTTGTTTGACAAACCACGTATGGCTTAAAAAACCCCTCAATATTTGCTGCTAGATGGGACAAAGGGCACCCCAGTGCACAAAGAAGTTGATTTTTAAAATTTATTTCATGCTGGGAGTGCTCTTTTGTTTACAGAAATAAAACTATAAATGCAAAGTTGCTGAAATGCATGGGCACTGTTGACTGCTGTGCAGGTGACAAAAGTCTTCCAATTATTATGTTATAGATCTGCTTTTGTGTAAGTTCTGCAATAACAATGGTAAAATTGGTACACTTCCTCAATTTTGAAGGATGCTTTCATTATTCCAGCTGTTGCTTTTCTTTATTTAAAAAACGAATAAGGAAGTATCTGATTTTTTTTAACTTTTTACAAGGGAAAAAACATTTTTGAAACCTAGTTATACTCTTCTCAATTGATGAAGGTTGCATTAATTTTGTTTTTGGGTATCTGTACCCCAGTACAAAATATAGCTATCTCTTCAAGATCTCTCTGAGTAAGGGCATCTATTTATTACCTGTGCTTTCCCGTCCCCATCACCTTCCTGTTCGTTCAGTACATTTAAAGTGGGTATGTGGCTAAAGAATACTTCGTTGCAGGCTGGTAAGTCTGTATGGAAGAATGTTCCCATGTGCCATTAACTTATTGATTCCCATTGCCATGTAGATGTGCAAGACACGGATTTAGGGCTACTGCCATTTCTGGAAGGATCTGTTGTTCTCAGAGGTCATTTTATATTGTGACCCTATAAGGCTGCAGTGCTATAAACACCTACAGATAAATTGCATTGGATTTGGTAGGACCTACTTCTCCATAGAAAATACTGGATTCTGCTGTCAAGTGTTCAACAGGTAGAAATACATATTTCAGAAAGATGGAATACTTGAACATCTTTATTACCCCCTATTTAATTTATAAAGTTGTACTTGCAAACTAACCACTAGAAAGTGTTGTACAGGCTAAGCTGTCACCATCACCACCACCACCATGTAATTAATTAATTAAAATTATATGTTTATAAGCAATTTTATAAGTAATTATTACTCCACTTTTTTCCTTTTGCAAAGACCTCAAGGTTGCATTTTATTCACGCAACAAGCCAATAAAATAGGTTAGGTTGCGTGTCTGTGATTATCTTAAAATTGTTCCATGTGCTTCATGGCCAAGTGGGGACTAGAACCCAGATCTCCAAAGCCCTAGTCCAACCCTCTAATTGCTGCATTACACTAAATGATGCTATCAGGATAGATACTTTAAAACACAGTTTGAGATAAAATTTATACCTGTGCAGACATTAGATCATAAAAAACAGGAACTTTTAAAAAGTTGGAATGCTGAAAATAGTTTTTGATAATGGTTTTGATAATGGTTAAATTTGTGTCACTTTTATCTTTAAAAAAAGTTGCCGTGACTTTTCATGGTTTGTTACTTTATTTTCTGAAATTGTACATAGTTTTATGTTTTCTTTGCAATTTCAACACTGGAGGTTAGCTTCCTTCTAGGTATCTTGCTGAGTGGATGTTTCTATCAGGTTACCTCAAGTATGAATGTGGTTTCCTTTAAACTGTCAAAATACAAGATGCTGTAGTACCTAAAAATGGGTTTTGCATGGAAGAAAGAGAGAGAGAGAGAATGGGAGATTATCTGAAAAGCCTCAAGCACTCATGATCAGGTTCATTCTAACTGACTGACTTTCTAAATTCAACCCCCTCCCCTCTTGCCCCTTTTACTTAAATGATGCAGCTTTTTTAACATTGCAATGAGCGCTCTCTATTTTTCTTCCCCGAATCTCTTTGGAGAAAGCTATAACCAGTGAAGCAGCCTTGAGTCTATCATTAGAGTGTATTAATCAGATTTTCCCCCTCAGGACTGGCAAAAGCTGACATATTCTTCAAATCCTTCAAGACACGAACCACATCACAGTAATATCATCTGATACTTGATCCAATGGGACAGAATGAGAATGAATTGACACCAAAAATAGAGGCACCAGTTGTCATGAGAGGATTAAAAAAAAGAGGTTAAATTCAGTGCTAAATAACAGTTCTAGAAATCTGCTCTCTTAGCCTTAATGCATTATAAAAGTTTATCATCTTGACCTAGGGCAGATCACAGGCCTGTTAACCAAAGTATTCCAAAACTGTGTTCTGTAACAAAAAAGAATAGCTCCTGAACATAATACAGAATACTGTTCTATAATACATTATTGTGGGTTTAAAAACCCTAAAAATGACCCAAACAAATGAAAAGTATTGCTGATTTTTTTCTCTTGCTGAAAACATTGGTTGCTAAGGGAGTTTCAGGCAAAACTGTGCTGATGAGACTTCTGTCTTATGCATTGGTTTGTGCTTGTAGCAGTGAAACCTTACCACAGACAACTTGTGTGTGGGAGAGGAAGACTGTGTGTGTGATGGACAGGAGAGAATGTTGTGAGAGACAGATGGGAGGAGAGGTGAATGAGAACATGGCAGACATAAAAGAAAGAAAAGGATTCACTTTTATTACTGGGCAGGTTGTGCATGTTTGCATTTTTTTTTTTTTTTTTTTTTTTTGCAGACCTGCAGTATAGTCACCTTTCTTGCAATATGACCATTTGTTGGGATGTGAGACAGCAGTGACCACCAAGAAAGAGATCTTGGGGTTGTGGTGGACAGTTTGAGGAAAACATCAGTCCATCCTGTGGCTGCTGTGAAAAAGCCTAAGTCCATGATAGCTTAATTAGGAAGAAAATTGAAAGTAAAACTGCCAAGATCATATTTCTGTTATAAAGACCTATGGAGCAACGACACTTAGAATATTGTATACAACACCCAGCTAAACAAGGATGCAGTACCTTTGGGAAGGTGCTGGAATAACTCCCCTATGAGGAACATATGGGATTGCCTAGCTTAGAAGAAATGGTGTGATGAAGGTTTACAAAATGATGCATTGTGTGCAGAAAGTGGATAAGGGGACTCTCTCTCATAATACTATAACCTGGATCAGCCTTTAGCTTTTAATTGTGGGAAAGTCTGGGCAGATAAAAGGAAATAGTTTTTTGCACAGCACATATTTAAACTATGGAATTCCACAAGATGGAGTGATAACTACCACACTGGACGGCTTTGAAAGGGGATTGAACCAATGTATGGAAAATAAAGGTATCAATGGCTATTAGTTCAGATGGCTATCTATATTCTACCTCCAGTCTAAGAGGTAGTATACCTATGTAAACTAGTTGCTAGGGAACATGGGCAGGAGGGTACGATTACACACATTGTGAATTTGCTTGTGAATTTTCCATGGGTAGATCTTTGGGCATTGTATGAACAGAAAACTGGACTGGATGGATCCTTGGTCTAATTCATTATGTCTCTCCCTATGTTCTTACTACCCTAATATATTATAGACATGTTGAGACTGAGGCTCATCCCATTTTGAAAGTTAGTTCAGGAAGATCTTGCTCCTTGACCAGATGCTAAATAAAGCTTCCCATATCTAGACAACAGCAAAATAGCCCATGTTGCCTTCTCCATGTCAGCTCTTATCCATTAGTAGCCCACAATTTCTAGTGGCCCGAGTGCCTAGTAGTCTAACAGTGTTATCTGTGCTTCCAAGGCACATCTTAGTCATTGGCCATGGCTTCACTTTTAAATAAACTAGCAGAGTTCAGTGCTTTGTATGGAAATATCTGTAACACTTTTGATTATCATTGGCAGATCCTGTGTCATGTTCACACATCATTGCTCATTTTGAAGCAATACTCTGTACATGGTCCAGACATAACATAGTTTAGTTATGCCAGAAATTAGGTTTGATTTCTTGGCCTTCTCCTTTCTTGTGCCCCTTTGTAGTCAAATGTTGGCAGACTAAGTTGAATATTAAACCATGGTTTGATCCTGGTTAAACATCATCAAATGTTTGATGAGCTGTTTCAGGTTTAATGAACAACTGTAGTTCACATAAATCAGGATAAATGTGCTAAAGCTGGGGCACAAAGGAGAAGGTGAAGTTAGGGGTGAAAGGACAGGCCTGTTGCTTATTCCTGGGTTAGTAAACTGGCTTCTAAGTTAGTAACATTATACCCAGAAAGGCCATCTTAGTATCCCATTTGCTTTAACAGTGGAAATTATAATTGAATGGAGTTACATTTGCACTCGTTTTTAATAACACAGTGGTAGATTCTGAAGTACAAGGCTCATTATTATGTAAGTCAATTGTATTACATTTTAACTTACCTTTAATCAAAAGAACCAATGCCCCGTGTCTCTTACAAACAACTCAGAAAAAGGCTTTTGCAGGTAAATGTTATCTGCATTACCCTGGCACTCTGGTAGATGTTATTATTGATTTTGCTCCAAAAACAGTTCTCCACCACCCCATTGCTCCTTCTAGGTATTACGTATGTTGTGCAAACAAAATGAACAAGCTTTTCAAAGGTCTGAGTAGCACTGTACTCAGGTGGTACTCAGCGCTAGGGTACTGTACCCTTTGGTAGTTCAGTAATTCTACTTCCCTGGAGTATATGTGAAACTGATTTTGTTAGATCTCTTGCTGTGTCTATCCAACTTTGCCTGTACCCTTTTTTGATGTCATGCTACTCTACCTCTTTCCTGTAGTGATGTTTGTGTTTTGTTGTTAATCTTCTACCTGCTTTAATCTGTAGCTGAAACTCTGGCATAGAGCTGATGAGTTCTTTGTTTTTGTTTTTGCTTTGTTGCGGTGCACTCATACATTGGGTCATGCAATTCTGCAGTGTAGCCAAAGATTTTCACTGTGCCACATTAGAACCAAAGCTAGTTGATATCAGTAATGTCCGTGCTCATACTTTTTGTTTGTTTTTTGCATTTGTCTTTCAGAATGGACCATCCAGTTCTTCATGTATCTTGGAATGACGCTGTAGCATTTTGCACTTGGGCAGGAAAACGGCTGCCAACAGAGGCTGAATGGGAATATAGTTGCCGAGGGGGTCTTGAGAATAGGCACGTATCAAGATTCTGTCCTTTCGCAAATGAAAGCAAGTATAGGAAAGGAAGCCCTTTCTTACATGCTGTTAAGAAAATCTTTAAGTCCTACTAAATAGAGCTGATTTCGAGCATCATAAAGTTCTCAGGTCATAATTTAATTTTTAATCAGTTCATAATATATTTTTTAACCATTTGCTAAAATAAAAGAAATTTGTTTGCAATGAACAGGACACTTAATTGTGCGAGCTGACTTGTGAGAAACAACTGGTTGCACTTGTGAAGGTAAAAAATAATAAAAAATGTAAGATAGTAAACAGCTATGTGGGAAAGCATAATAATGTAAAGATTTTAAGAAATGTAAGTGGATCTGTGCAGTTTGTTTGTTTGTTTGCATTTCTTTACTGCCCAATAGACAAAATTGGCTTCTGAAGCCAACCCCATACACTTTCCTTTGCAGCAGAGGCGGATAAGCTACTCCCCTCAGCCTCCCTCCCAGTGATCAGCTGACAAGAGTGATCTGTCCCTCGCATGGCCACCCTCTGTGTGGGAAGGAAGAAGGGGAGGGAGAAAAGGCTGTGGCAGAAAGTGAGAGATAGGAGTGTGGTGAAGGGAAAAGGGGTGATTCTATGTATTTTTTCTACTCCTGCTGGAATGTTCATCCCCCTCTGCAGACTGTTTGTCAGAATAGCAAGCGAGCGAGTAGTTAAATCCTGAAATTTATGTTGCACAGTCAAAACCAGGGGTCTCAAACTCGCGGCCCGTGGGCCAGTTGCCGGGCCGGGTGGGGCTCGGGGGAGGGGCTCTGCGGCCTTCAAAGTGCCGGCGGCACCTGGGCCGGCCTCCAGGAGCGACGTGGGATGAGCGGCCCACCACCACCGCGGTGGTGGAATGCTTGATGCGGCCCAGCCGCACCCAGACTCTACTTCCAGCAGCCCCCAGGTAAGTTGAGTTTGAGACCCCTGGTCAAAACAATGGCCCTTCAGGTGTAAAGTCCTTCCTGTATTTTTGCCAGTATCCTGTTTCTGATATATGCATCCGAAATTTAACCTGATAAGTGCTTCTGCAGCTGAAAACCTCATTGCATTCAAAATGAAAGAAGATTCTAGGATCTTTCCTCAAGAATGCAATCTTCCTCTCTGATTTGTGTCATTTATGAAACAGCTCTAGGGTATATCTCAGGATATAAACTCTATTGGTGTTTTTATAATCCTTGATGCCAAGTTTTTGTTTTCTTTCCGAGGTAAGAATTGGGGAAAACTTTCATGTATTGCTTTGTAAATATGTAAATCTGTAATCCTGCCTTATAAACTGCCATGTAAGTACATGATACTGAGTACACATTTTTAACTTACATCCTTGTTTTTTTGTTGCATTTTTAAAATACGTGTAATACTGGCAATGTCTATAAAAATAACTTTTTGAAAGTGCTAGCCATTCGTTTTTCTCATCTTTGATCTTGTTCTTCTGACTTCAGACAACAAGCATCCTACTGCTACACTGAGTAACTTTTGCCTGTGCTTCTTCAAACAGACTTTTTCCCTGGGGAAACAAGCTTCATCCAGGCGGTCAGCACTATGTTAATATCTGGCAGGGAGAATTCCCAAGGAACAATACAGGAGAAGATGGATACAAAGGAACTGCCCCTGTAAGTTACAGGTCTGCATCAAGACAAGATTTGGTTTGACCAGGACATGACTTGTTTTGCTATATATACCAGCTGGCTTGCATGGAAAAGCAAACAAACAACTAAAACTTCTGTTCTTTTGGACAGGATTGGTAAAATTTTCACACATTATAGTCCTTTCTGAGCAGATGGAACATGCCAAATGTCAGACAAATCAGTTCAGGCTTTTCTGTGCTAGGTAACTTTTATAATTCAGGATTTTTAAGGGGACATCTTCACGTTTTCTCTTAGCAGAATTGCATGGAATTTGCACGCATAGTTTCCTCTTCTGAGAGAACATAAGAAAAGTCATGCTGGTTCAGACCAAATATCCCTCTTATCCAGTACTCTGGATACATGGCGGCAAACCAGCTTCCTCCAGGATCGCTCAAGCAGGATGGGTGCAAGACCTCCTCCTGCTCAACCTCCTCAGCAGCTGGTGCATGCATGCATGCCAGCAAAGCTAGTTGCCACTGGTAGCCTCCTCCCTCATGAATCTGTCCTTTTTAACATCATCCAGATTGGCATCCATCAGCACTTCCCATTGCAGCAAAATCCACAGTTTAACTATAAGCTGTGTGCAGAAGTACTCTTTTTATCTGTCCTCAACCTTCCACCAATCAGCTTCTCTACTTCCTTCACACCATGCATTATTTTCAACACCTCTATCACATCTCCCCTTACTTGCCATTCTCCCACTCTGGGCAGTCTCAGCTGCATAGCCACTCTTCGTAGGGGAGCTGCTCCAACCACCTGATCATTTCTGTTGCCCTTCTCTGTCCTTTTTCCGGATCAGTAATGTGCTTTTCCAGGTAAGGTGACCAGAACTGAACACCAAGTGCAGTCACCCCAAAGATTTGTATAAGGGAAGTAAGTCTGTCAAATGTCAGAGAGACAGGTGCATTATAGTTGCAAAAGGAGTCTTTAAAATTTGGAGTGGGGGGTTATATTTTTGTACCTTCCCTCCTTCCCAGCTCTTTATGCAAATGGCATAATGTCAGAGAGGTGCAAATAAGTAACTTGAAACATTTTAGAAGGATAGATGCTGGGTTTCTCATTAGTGCAAGGGCAGTCTTGATTATGGAACAATGTGCATGGAAATAGCATTCATTCTATTGTTGCCTCTATGGAGGTAATTTATAAAATTCCAGAAGGATAGCTAGAACAGTTAGAGAGTCCTGAGGTACAAAACCATTTCTGGCTGTGTTTTTTATACAGCTGACACCAGCGGGTATGCATTCCTTTCTCCAGAGCTTTGTGACTGCATCCAGAATGGATAAGCTTGGTAACCTTATTCTGTGGTTAAAAGATAAAGCTGTCAGTCACAAATTATACACTCGCACACACACACACACACCTCTTCCTGCTCCTTCATGGATTGCTTGGAGGCAAAATATAACCATTTTTAACACAGAGCCTGAAATTGTCTGGCTAGCATTTCCATGCTCTGAATCTCCATGGCAGACTGGTTCACTTCAAGTCTCCTTGAAGAAGCCCTGCCTTGCCTCAGAGAGGAACCAAATCCCTCTGGAATAGCCAGCTACAGTTTTGGGTTCAGGCTTCAGGCTTCATCCAAACAGATGCACACCCTTCCTGTAAGTGTGACTGAAGTAACTGGCAGGCTCTCTACAGCTCATGGCTGATATTTTGTATGTATCGTTAGGAGATAGCAGGGAACAAAAGTTTGAAGGAAAGGCTGGCAAGTGGCTGTAAGAACAAGAAACACTCCTGTTTTCTCTCCTTCCCTTCTCAACAGATCAACAACAAATACCGTGTGTGTGTGTATTAGATTTCTAGCCTGCCTATTAGCCAAGATGACTCTCTGGGTGGTCTACAAAATATATAAGATAATATGAACAATATGCACAATAAAACAATAATATTAAATTGGGTATACATACTACAGAATAAAATAACCACAATAAAAGTACAGAAACCCCCACAATATTTCCAACATTTGTAGTACAATTTTCTATTGCCTAATGAGGAGACCAAGTAATATATCATTGAAATATGTACAAATGATTTTTTAAAAGGAGGAAACAGTAAATAGTTTTGGTGCTTGTGGTTTTCAATTGTCACAGAGCTCAGATCAACATAACTATGATCTCCAAATTGTGTTGGTTCCCATGATACATCCATAAGCAAAAAGATTATGTAAAATTTCAGTTTGCAGACCTTAAATTTCTACCTGGGTCTGTCATTTTTATAGTTAATAAAGCAATGATTAACCATTCCAGGCTGAATAATTCTCAGCAACTGGAAGTATTGGATGCTACTGTCAAATCCTGGATAGCAACCAATTGTAGATCAAGATGAAGGGACAGACATATTTTAGTATATACTTAGTACACAAATATAAAGTATGCAAGTATGCTTTGAAATAAAGTATGCTTGGAATTATTTCTAAGTGACACTACTTTCTTTCTATATATATAGTAAACAAATAATCATAAAGAACATGTTGCCTATTTGGAGATGGAAACATCATTTGAAATTGCCTTTCTCACTTTTTGTTTGTGCTTTTTGGAAAAGATATTATCAGTGAGATTGTAACTCATGCCTCCAATTCAATCAACCTTGCCAGACCTCGTGCACTCCAGATGTGTTTGAATGCAATTCATATTCTTTCTAGCCATAATCAAGTTGCGAAAGAGCTGTATTAAAAGGTAGCTGTTAGGAAGCCAGTGTTTTCATGAAATGGTAACCTTCTGTCTCTTTCCTGATACAATAGTAGAGAAAGTCATTGAAAAATGACCACATGCCAGTAATCTTTAATGTGAAAGCAAGCATTGTCAAAATAAGAACAAGCTGAGAAGGAGAAACTGGGAGACCTTTTCCTCTTTTCAGTTTTTTTGTGTGAAAAATACAGAAAATGCATGTGTGCTACTGGCTATTTGCATCAGTTGAAGCCTCATTCCTGTGAATTTGTAAAAGTAAGGCCATCAAGGCCATGTGAATTAAAAGGTAGACTCTCACCTCACCACAGAGGAAGAAACACCAAGAAGTCGATGCAAACTGAAAAGACAATATTTTACATCCCTCTCTCCTTTTAGTAAGTATGGTGAATACCAATAGATTAAACTTGATCTACTTTTTCCTGATCTGTTGCTTAGTACTTTTTTCTTTATTTTGCAGGTAGCAGCATTTCCTCCAAATGGTTATGGCTTGTACAATATTGTTGGAAATGCCTGGGAATGGACATCAGATTGGTGGGATGTTCATCATTCTTCAGATGAAACATACAACCCGGTCAGTATCTGATCAGAAAAAGCAGCAGCCATTTGCTGCTTTGTTCCTTCTCCACTGTGTGTGATATTGGAAGGCCAGATATGTTACAGGCTGAGTTATGGAGCATCAATCCTGAAAGCATTTTCTAGTTAGCATGGTCCTGACTTGCAGAAGGCCTGTCTGCACTTTAACCAAACTGTAGAACTTACTCAATTGTTTTCCAACTGTCTCTGTGTGTTTTTAGGTGAAGTTGAGAATAACCCTTTTATAACAGAACAAAGGACTGCCTTTCTTCTACACCAAAATAGTGGAGCTCAGGCAGACAGGCATGCTCAATGTGGCATAAGTGGTTTGAGTACTTGTTCATTGCTCTTAAAATTGATGTGTCTGAATGCAGAAAATGTGTGTTGGAGTAATTTCCAGCACACAGGAGATGTGGCTGATGGCAGAAAAGGTGGCATCAGTGATTGATCTGGAGTGTCTTCTATCACCTATATCTAATACAATGACTAAATGTGTTCTTAGCATCCCAGGACCTTGCCACAGTCGGCCGTTCCTTGTGGCAACCTCTAGAATGGGTGGCTGCAGTGTAGTTGCATGGAGCTATTTTCAGAGGTACAGCATGGTTGGACCCCTCCTCTGATGTGTGTGCAGGGGGCAGGACCAGAGGCATTAGGAAAGAGGACAGTGGTGGTAGCAGCGGTGCTGTGCCCACCTGGCTACTTGTGGTATTCTGGGTAAGTGCCATGAGTGAAAACATGCCATTGGTATCCCGATGACATCCAGAAGTCTCAGCAACCATGAGTGGCTTATTTAAGGCATGATGAGCCACAGAGCCCATAGATGCCATCATAACTACTCAAACCTGAGCTGCAGCTGTCTATGTCATTTAAATCTTGGGATTGTGGATTAAGAGAGAGGGCATTTTGGCTCTGTCCCATGGGAAACAGAGACTCAGGAATGGTTATGTCAATTGCTTGGCCATTTCTACATTCCAGAGGTCAGCCAGGGCTTCAGCAGAATTTCCTGGTGAAGTAACAGGAAAGTCCTCCCAAAACCTTCAGAAAACTATCTGTGCCCCTCCCCTGCAGACCCTCCAAATGCCAACAAGTCTCATAAATCCTAGTCTGCTGTATTTATTGCTGCATTAAATCATGGTGGCTTGTCAGATTACTGTCAGGGCTTGGAACCATTCAGCAAGGAACATGTTGGAAAAACAGTTTGTTCCAAACGTAGCACATCTTTGCCATTATTGGTCACTAGAGGCAAATTAAAGATAAACTGTTATGAAGGGTGTGCTTGAAAGCTCAGAAGCTCCTAATTTAGCTGTGCAAGGATTTTTATACTCTAACCCTATGCATGTGTCATTGGCTTTGATCTAACACTGTCTCACTGCCTTTAATAGAGCTTACTCCCATGTAAATGCATATAGGATATAAAACATTTCTCCCCCACAGCTATCTATCTATCTATCTATCTATCTATCTATCTATCTATCTATCTATCTAGAGAACTTCTATGCCGCCCCATTTGCTGAAGCCTCGGGGCGGCTCACAATCATAAATAAACACAATATAAAATAATATAATTTAAGTCGCCCTGGCCAAAGAATGAAATAAATAAATAGTATTAACAATTAAAGTAACATTTGAATAAAAAGGTCTTTGCCTGGTGCCAAAAAACAAATAACGACGGTGCCAGGCGGACCTCTCGGGGGAGCACATTCCATAAATTGGGCGCCACCACAAAGAAAGCCCTCCTCCGAGTACTTACCCTCCTAATATCCTTCACGGAGGGTTCCCGGAGAAGGGCCTCTCCCGCTGATCTCAAGGGGCGGGCGGGCATATATGGACATAAGCGCTCCTTCAGGTAACCAGGACCCAAGCCATTAAGGGCTTTATAGGTCATAACCAACACCTTGAATTGGGCCCGGGCTTCAATGGGGAACCAGTGAAGCTGACGGAGAACTGGAGTCATGTGAACAGAATGCCAGTCCCTGTCAGCAGCCTGGCAGCTCTATTTTGAACCAATTGAAGTATCCGGACCATCTTTAAGGGCAGTCCCACATAGAGCGCATTACAGAAGTCAAGTTGGGAAGCCACCAACGCGTGTGTCACTGTCGCCAGGCAGTCGTTCTCCAGGTAGGGCCACAGCTGATGGATCAGCCGAAGATGAAAGAAAGCACTCCTCGCCACCGCTGTCACCTGAGCTTCCAGTGAAAGCTCTGGGTCAAGGAGCACTCCCAAGCTGCGGACCTTGTCCCTAAGAGGGAGTGCAACCCCATTCAGGACTAGGTTCAGTTCACCCTCCCTGAAGCCCGATCCGCCAACCAACAGGACCTCCGTCTTGTCTGGATTGAGCTTCAGTCTATTGGCCCTCATCCAGCCCATTACCTCGGCCAGGCACCAGTTCAGCACAGCCACCGCCTCACCTGGATTGGTGGAAAATGAGAGGTAGAGCTGGGTATCATCAGCGTACTGATGACTCCACAGCCCACACCTCCTGATGACCTTTCCCAGCGGTTTCATGTAGATGTTAAATAGCAAGGGGGACAAAATGGATCCCTGCGGTACTCCATGGCATAGCTGCCATGGTGCACATCCATAGTCCCCCAGCACCACCTTCTGGAATCAGCCATTGAGATAGGAGCAGAACCACTGCAAAGCAGTGCCCCCTACTCCCAATCCCACTAGCCTATCCAGAAGGATACTGTGGTCGATGGTATCGAAAGCCGCTGAGAGGTCCAGGAGAACCAACAGGCGGAACCAGGAAGGAACACAAGGTGGCTTATAATTTTTTCCTCCACACCTTTATATCCTTGCAACAACAACCCTGTGAGGTAGGTCAGACTGAGAGTCAGTGACTGGTGCGAAGCCACCCAGTGGGCTTCCTGACTGAGCAGGGGCCAGAACCTGGATCATCCCAGTCCAGTGACCACCATACCACAACGTGCCTGTTCATATATGTTTGTTTATGGAAGCATGATTTTTTTATCCACAAGAAATCATAACATTTAGCTTAACTCTTAATTCTAGTAAGGGCAGAAGACTGTGGCTCAGTCTGATCGTCTGTGTTTGCATGCAAAGAATCCTTGGTTGAATTCGTGACATCTTCTATTAGAAGGGAAGTGGGCAAAGTTGGATTGGACAAAACTGGACTAGGTGGACCAAAGAGCTGACTCATAATTTAAGACCATTTCTATTTGTTTTATTACATATTCATTACAACATAAGAAAATAAACCCAAACATTCTGCAAAAACCATCATTTTGTGGCTCAAAAACTGCCAAATACTAGAACTTCTTGCATTCTTTTTTCTTTACTATCTTTCTGACCTGTTTCACCAAGTGGCAGGCTGAAATATGCTTACAGTCTTGTATTACATGGATGCTTCATTAGTTTGTTGATAGAAATGCATTAATTGTAAGGCATCTCTGTATGAACCCAGGCTATGGGTGACACACCAACTAAGCAAGACCTACTGAAGAGGTGAATGTGGGTAGCAATCCTGTATCTTTATTCCTGGCAAAAAGACTTCACTGCACAGTCACAACTCAAAATGAACCTGGAGTCAAAAAGAGACCAAACAGCTGTGTGTCCAAGAATAAATGGCACTTCAGCTGTACAGAGAATCATACACATCCTTTATTTCCAGTGTATTTAAGATAATGCTTTTGCAAAAGGCATGATAACATTTGCCCGTGTTTGATTCTCCCACAGGCAGAAGCCTTTTGTGCTCATTCTAATAGAGAGCACTTAGAATCTGCTTATCTCTGAAAAGATAACTGGAACTGCCAGTCTGTTTCATGTATCTCTTCACAGTGTCTTTCAAAAAAGTAGCAGGTTCTACCATACCTTGAATGAAACCAGTTTTTAAATGAAGGTGTCTAGTCCCAAAGACTGACCTGTTTACCTTTCATGTGTGAATTTATCTGCCAAGACTTTTTTTGGAAAGAGCTCTCAAAATGGAAGGTAGGATGACACTCAAAGCAGAAGAACCTCTTCTAAGCACCTTTCTCCCTTGGTCACCGTTTCTCAAGGTGTAAGTTTGAAAAAGGCCACGTTGTCTGGCTTCACTCAGTTGGTTTGCACAACAGGACAAGCAGTGGGGCTTTTTGTGCAAGTTGATCTGTTGTGTTGTCCAAACTCCCTCATGGTATTTTAATGTGATATATTTGGTTTTTAGAAACTATGAACAGGACCATTGGTCTTGTTTCTTGGTACCATGAAGGCTTGTTCTGTTATTTGACCTTGGAAAACACAACTCATTGTGGTTCCAAGGCCAGCACCCTAAAGCCTCTCAGCAAGAGCAACAGCAAGCTGCTCTCTAGCCAGAGAGTACCACTGACAGCTGCCATTTTGCATAACTGTTAGAGGCATCCCTGCTGCATCCACCTCCTGCCCTAAAGATCTGGGAAAGGAGCAGCACTGCTCAACTGATCCCCTGCCATCTCTCCCATGTGAGCAGGAGGAGTGGTACCTGGTTGGGGCTGTGCACCTCAGCAGATCTACCCCCCCCCATACTGCCCACTTGTCCACCAGAGGGATCCCCCTTGCATGTGTGTGGGGGGGACAAGAATCTGCTGAGTGGCGTTGCCCAGTTGGGGGCTCTGTACCTCACTGGATTCTTTCTTTGCTACCCACCATTCTAGCTCCCACTAGCCAGAGATGCCTCCCCAGGCAGGACCAAAGAAGGCAAATGAGAGAGGAATTATCTGAGCAGTGCTGGTCACTGCTGCCCAGCTGATTCATGCCCCTTCCACTGGGGTGTGATGGGGCTTCCCTCAGGTATACACAACTCCTTTCTGCAGTGCTATCCAACTTATTTCCCGCCTTTTGTCTGAAGTATGGATCCTCCAGTGCTCCCCCCTGGAGCAAGAGGATGGAGTGACTGATCATGTCCTACACTTCTGGGTGTGAGGCTGTTTGCACAACAGGGGCAGCTTGACAGCTGCAGCAAGCTGAATTAAGCAACTGATGGTGGCTGTCAAAGGGAAGAACCTCATTCCTGCCTGCAGTGCC